AAGAATAATCATGAGCTCACTAAATACTGGAACAACACATATCCTTTGGGATGGCATTGTTGGGGAAGAATTCAAACCAAATAGAGGAGTACGCCAAGGTGACCCGGTTTCACCGTACCTCTTTGTTTATGTATGGAACGCTTGTCTCAAGCGATTAATGTAGAAGTGGAGGCTGGAAGATGGAAGCCATTACTCTTTGGGAGGGGACAAGTGCAACTCTCACACTTGCTTTTCGCAGATGACCTTCTCATTTTTGCGGAAGCAAGTGTCGAATAGGTGTTACTGATCAGGAAAACCCTCAATGATTTCTGTGAAGCTTCAGGACAAATTGTGAGTAAGGAAAAATCTGTTCTCTATTGTTCACCAAACTTGGAGAAGGGAACAACGGATTCCTTCAGTAATATTTTTGGCATAAAAAGGGTTAACAGTCTTGGCAAGTATTTGGGCACACCTATCACTCATGGCCGTGTTAAGAAAGACACCTATTCAGGATGGGTGGATAAAGCAAAGCAAAGAGCTGCGCAGTGGAATCCGCATAAAATATCTTTGGCAGGTCGGCTCACCTTATGCCAATCATGACTCTCGGCCATCCCCATATACCTCATGCAGTCATCCCTACTGCCGAGTGGAATTTGCGATGAGTTTGATAAAGTGCGAAGAAGTTTCCTTTGGGGACACAAACCGGGGGAAAGAAAACCAAGTCCAGTCAACTGGAAAACTGTTTGTCAACCGAAACAGAGGGGCGGATTAGGGCTAAGAAAGATGAAAGAATTCAATATGGCTTTCATCATTAAACTCGCTTGGAACCTCATGACTGAAGGTTGAAGTCTTTGGAAAGACATACTAATTGCCAAGCATGGAGCTCCATCAGGACCTCTGCCCGGAGGTTCTCCATCAATGATGTCTCTAATCTGGAGACAAATCCACAAAGTATGGAATGTGACTGCCAAAGGAATATGGTGGGTAATCGGTAACGGACAGGAGATAAACTTTTGGCAACAAGTCTGGTTAGACAGTTCGAATAAGCCGTTAATTGAGGCTGCAACCAGGGACATCTCTTCTGAAATGCTACAAAGAAAAGTGGTGGAATATACTGACGAAAGGGGGAACTGGAACTGAGAAGAGCTGAGACGATTCCTACCACAACAAGTATTGGACAAAATCAGAGCTGTACCACCTCTTGCTCAGAATGCGGGAAAGGATCGTCCTGTATGGAGATTGACTCAATCCGGACGTTTCAACACGCATTCATCTTATAATCTTCTAATGGAGGAATCATGGGATACTGAGGAAAAAGCCTAGAAGCTAGTGTGGAGTTGGAATGGCCCTAAAAGGATAAAAGTTTTTCTATGGCTCTTGCTAAGGGGGGTGCTGATGACAAATGCAGAAAGGAAGCGGAGACATCTAGTAGAAGATGGAAGCTGTCACATATGTGGAGAAGAAGAAGATTCATTCCACACCTTCCGGGACTGTTTCAGGGCAAAAGAGCTATGGCGGTCCATCAATTCATCCCTGGACATGGACTTCTGGTATGTCAACGACTAGAACCTCTGGATTACCTAATTTAAAATCTTCTGTTTTGCAGGGATTATACATGGTCTCTCTGGTTCATAATTACTTGCTGGAAGCTATGGGGAGCCCGAAACGATGAAATCTTCAATGGAATTTGCACTTCACAAAGGACGCTCCAGATCACAACCTCGGCTTTGGTTAAGGAAATCAATCGTTCCAATATTATTTTTGCCCGAAGGAACGAGAAAAGAAGAACTAAACCAACACAGCAAGGCTGGGAACCTCCTCAAGAAAATACCATCAAAATTAACTCGGATGGCACAGTTGCAAATAATGGGAAAGCGGCAACTGGTGGGTTACTGAGAAATTTCGTAGGAGGGTGGATTATGGGTTTTGCTGCCAACCTAGGATGTTGCAGCGTACGAGAAGCAGAACTCTGGGGAGTTTATATTGGACTTCAAATTGCTTGGGACCTAGGTTTCAAACAAATACAGGTGGATACAGACTCCTTAGAGGCTTTTGATATTTTGTCAAAAGAGGACTCCCTTTTATGTAATAGTAACATTTTCTTTAAGATTAAAAATCTCCTAAATCTAAATTGGCAGGTAGAATTCAGGCATACCCAACGCAACCAAAATGCGGTCGCGGATGTTTTGGCAAAATTTGGTCTCTCATGTCCACAAGGGAACCATATTTTGTCTACACCTCCGTCGTTAATTAAGGATAAACTAGAAGTTGATAGAGTAGGATCATCCCAAATCCGAAGGGATATTTTGTAACCCCTAAGCCTAATGGCTTCCTTCGTATATATATATATATATATATATATATATATATATATATATATATATATATATATATAAACAAAATCCTATACTTTATACAACACCTCCCTCTTCTTTCCATCACCTCAAAGCGGCAGTTTACACACCTAATATTTTGAGCAATGTTTTTTTTGAAACGGTACATGTATATTAATTAGAAATACCTATACTATTACATTTTAGTTCAGCATAAGTTAAATTATGTAGATCACGGACATTATTTCTACTAACTTTAATTAAAGTACAAGATTGAAATGTATATTTTAATTGACGTAACCTAATTACTACTTCTTGAGCCTCTGTGAGAAGAGAACCTGGTCTTTGATTCGTTGTCAATAGTGTACAAGTCGTATAAATGACCACACTGACTAGGCCAAAATCTGAAGCCTGTTGGAGAACCATAAGGCATGTCATAGCTTCAGTTCGGAAAGCTGATAGCGCTGAAAGCTGTACAAATTTAATTTGCATGAGTTGCTCCGTTGGTGAGGTTATTCTCCATGCCCCTGCTGCTCTTCTGGTTATGGGATGGCAGGAACCATCGAATACCATTGTTGCCTGATGGTCCGGCACTCTCATCGGCAAAGTGACTTGATGATCTGAAGCCTGGAGGGATTTACATCTCTGTAAATCAGTTTTATGTTGAATGTATTCTTTCCGGATGAGTTGCCAGGAGATCACAGGATCCATACTCTGATATCGCTACACTTTGTCATTTTTGTCCAATCAAATTCTCCAGAAAATCAAAAGGAATAAATCTATGTCTTCCGATGGAGGTGAGGACTGTATCCAATGAATAAACCACTCAAGAAGCGTTGTGGCATTCCGATTGAGAATTGATTGGAATTTGGGATAAGCGACGCTCCATACTGCCTGAGAAATTGGGCACTGGAAGAAAATATGCACGTTGTCCTCTATATGGGTAAAGCAACGCGAGCACATGAGATACACTTGTACTCCCTGTTTTTGTAACCCCTCTTTAGAGGGTAAAGCATTTAGAACTGCCTGCCAAAAAAATATTTTGTGTTTGGGTTGCACACCAGAGTTCTACAATTTCTTCCAAGCTTGAGTTTCTCTCTGTTACTGTTAATGAGTTTGGTGCAAGTGATGAATACCACCATTCAATGCGGTGTGGTAGCCAGATTGTACCGTGTAATTCCCATGTGATGTATGTAACCAAAGAAGTTTATCATTTTGTGAAGCTCTGGCTGGATTAATAAAGAATAGTGATGTATGAGATAATCTGATCAGGGAAGATGGATAAGGAAAGAGATTTTCCATTGGTCATTGTAACAAATGAGGTCACTAACCATAAGATTGGAATGTGTTGCTAAAGATGACTCACGCTGGAAGGGGTTTGGGTGATTTGGGATCCAATCATCAGCAATATGAATGCTCCTTCCCGAAACAACTTTCCATTTGATATTATGTTGCAAGAGCCTAGCACCCCACAATACACTTTTATATCACCAGGTCGCATTGTTGGGTGCTTGATGCTGAGGAACTTGTTCTGTAGAGCAGTATTTGGCTCGATATACTCTGGAAATTAGAGACTCTGGTTGATAAATTATCTTCCAGGTATGTTTTGTCAATAAAACTTTATTAAACTCCTTAGCGGCCTTCAATCCCAATCCTCCATGAAACACTGATTTACTGACCTTTTCTCATTATCTCCAATGAATTCCTTTAGTCTGGGCTTCTCCGTTCCAAATAAAATTGGCAATAAAGTTTGAAAACCCCCCATTGAATAGACCAACATAATTGACAGTGTTGACTTTGCCAAAGTAACCCTTCCAACAAAAGTGAGGAGTTTCACTCTGCAAACTTGTTGGATAATCTTGCCGTTAAGTCTCTAAAAATCACACTTTTTTTTTTTCTTGAAATCTAATGATAGACCGAAGTACTTGCTCTGAAAACTTCCCTTAGTAGTCCTGGTGGTTGTATGGATGAGTCTTCTCATAAAAGGAGAAGTGTTAGAGCTCAATAGGATTGAAGACTTTTGGTAATTGATTTTCTTACATTACGATTCTTTATCTCGTTTTAATTTTCACTATAGAATATAAGATACTGTTTAATCACTAACAATGTGAATTAAAGTAGATGGTAGAAATACTAAAACAATTAGCTAATGTTCGCTTTAGATTTCAAATCAGGCCTCTAAATGAGAAGCAAATTGAGACACTGTCTTCATGTTGTTGCTAAACAATTTTTTCAAAACCTTTGGGAGCGATCAATATTTTAACAATCAACTTTTTGAAAGTCAGATACAGTAAAACTTCTATAAATTAATACATTTAGGTCTTCAAAAATTTATTAATTTATGAAGTTATTAATTTATCGATAAAATAATATTTTATTAATTTAAAGAGTTTTTTCAATCCTGTAAGTAAGAAAATACAAAAATTTAATAATTTTTATATCAAGAAAAGTCCCTTGCAACCCTAAAGAAAAGTCACTATAAGTTTTTTCAAGAAAAGTCACTATAAATTTTTTAATGAAACAAAAATATGATAATTACAAACATAAAAATAAATAATTAAGTTAAAATTTAAGTTAATCTTCAAATATAATTTATTGTTTTTAAGTATTTATTAATTTATGAAATTATAGGACCTATATCTACACAGGAGATTTTTATATTATTTTATAAATTAATTGAGTTTGAGACCGGGAAAAAAATCACTTAATAGAGGTTATTAATTTGTAGAGAATTAATTTTGGGAGGTTTTACTGTATAACAACAAATTGGGCTATGCAAGTGAGGCGGTAGAATTATAAGTGTGAAATGAAAAAAGCTACCCTTAAAATGGTCACCATGTTAAAGCTCATGCTTAATCCGGAGAAAGCAAAGTAAAAATCAGGCCCTGCAGCCATTCGAATTTCTACTAATTGCAAAATCAAATCTTCAGTGACCAGTCCCAATCGGAAGTGAAATTTTACCATAAATACAGGGACGTAAATACTAAAAAAAAAAAGTCAACCCGCAACGGAGGGAGTAACATCAGCTCGTGTTTGCGGCGGATCCACGGCGGCGGGGGCGGCGTATCTGTACAAATGGGTCTTGGGAGGAAGCAGCATAGATCGACACAAGGGGCAAGTGATCCGACCCGAATCAATCCAGGTATCCAGACACTCCCTGTGAAATACATGGTCGCACCTGCTCAGCTCCCGCACCTCATCTCCCGTTCCAATCGCTTCAAAACACACCGAACAACACGTATTCTCCGACCGAACCACCTCGTATTTCTCCGCCGGAAGATCCCCGAACTTGACGACGGGGACCCGGTTCTTGATCGCCGCGGTGACGACCCGGATTGGGATCGGGACCGGCGACGGGCTGAGGGTGCCGTCGAGAATGAAGATGTAGCCGTTGGAATTGTCGCCGGAGGAATCGTGGTCATCTTCGGGTGGAGGTTTGTAGAGGCCCAGACGAGTGAGTGCTCCGATGAGCAATAATTTCAGGTGGGCCCATAAACCGACGAACAAGAAGACCGGCCCTCCGGCGATGGCGCTCGGTATCATGATCTTGATGGCATGGAAGAGAAACCCCATTTTTTCGAATCCGACTTCCGGAAATGGTAAACAAAAAAGAGATCGTTGAATTCGAATCTGGAAACGGCTTAACTGTGTGGGGGAATTTGAGGAATGAGATTGAGAGAAAGAGCTGTTTTTTAATTAGATGTGTCCGTCGAGTAAGTGACAAACGGAAACGACGCTATCCAATTATGTTTCTTTAACAATTGATTGCGATTAGGAGTGAAGTGATTTATGTGTTCTAGAAGGAATACGAGGGATCCATTACCCATACTATTTAAAGCAGAAATTTTTTTAAGGCAAATAAGGACAATGAATAAGTGCGGTGAATAAAACGTTTGTCCGAAACAAATTAGTAACGTTAAGTGAAAAATTTTAGCCATATTTAGTGAGGGAAACAAACAATGAGAATTTAACATTGTAATCTTAAAAACATTAACAACCAACCAGATCAGTGCGGGCCATACAAATCAACAATGTAACAAATACTCAAATAGGATCCTGTCAGCATCAGTAATTGCTAGAAGCCTAAGGTAAAGAATAACACCACATTTTGTTAGTTTACCCAGCTGGGCTGCCTTTCTCTTGTTGAACCACTACTAGTAAATTTAGTCGACCTTTTCTTTTTTTTTTTTGGGAGTTTTGTTTCATTTATATTGTTATTCATGTTTTTGGAAATTTCCTTTGAAAGTCTCCCTGTTTGGAATTTGGATACACACAATGCGAAAGACTTTTCTTTTACCACTTCTATTTTCAAATTCTCCAATTTAAAATTTCGATTTTAATATAATTTTGAATTAAAAATAAAAATTCAAACCAAATAATAATTTTAGAACAGAATGAGCAAGTGTTTTAACATTTCCCATACATAAAAAGCAAAGTAAAAAGTACTCCAAGAACCGACCAATTTGATTTGATGTCCAATTCTAGGCCATTGGTGAAGTTTTTTCCGTAATACTATGATGGATGGGGTTCTAGAAGAAAGGTATTTGGGTCTAAATGGCAGCTAACTCACGGTTCTGCTATGTCTTGGTCCCACGTCCAAATGGCATATTTGCATGGTCCTTTTGTTTGTGTCTGGTCAGGGCCTTTCAGGAAATAAATTATGGTTCTCAGTTTACAGATTTCTAATGGACTCCATTACAACGTCCACTAAGCTTTTCCCTTTAGCCCAAACATTATAAACGAAACATAGGACTGAAGCCCAGATTTTAAAACTACTGAGCCCAATTAATCCAGACCAATTTCGATACCTTTTCCCATTAGGCCAACTGATGAGAGTTATCCATTCCTCTTCAGTGGCTTCTCCTTCCTCCACACTACCAATTAAACACTGAAGGAATTCCATGTCCTTTCTTATCTGCTGAAGAATTGAATTAGCAAGAAAGAGAGAGAGATGTCATCTTCAACTGCTGCAATTTCTACCATTCACAATTGTGCTCCTTTGGTTATCCCTGGAAGTAGAAATATCAAAGCAACAAAGTCATCATCATCATGGTTGAGTGGATCCCCTCTCAATTTATCCTCAAATTCAATCCTCTCCCTCCATTATAATACCAAGAATAACAGGCGGGGTCTTAGTGTTATTGCCATGGCTCCTCCTAAGCCAGGCGGCAAAGCCAAGAAAGGTAACCGGTTCTTCATTGAAAAGTTGTCTATTTCGGTTTTCCAGTGCCAAAGTTCTGAACTTTATTCATATGGGTTTTGGGGTTTTTCTTTTGGTTTGCTTTGTAATAAAATGTTACTATCTTCTCGGCAGCTTAGTTTTGGAACTTAATTCATTTGGGGTCTTTTTCTTTTTCTTTTTTTTTTTTCTTGGGGTTAATGCAGTGACTGGGATTATTAAGCTGGCATTAGAGGCTGGGAAGGCCACCCCATCTCCGCCAGTGGGTCCTGCGCTTGGTTCAAAGGGTGTGAATATCATGGCATTCTGTAAGGATTACAATGCCCGAACTGCTGATAAAGCTGGTTATGTTATCCCTGTTGAAATTACTGTCTATGATGTTAGTACGCCAGTTCATTTATGCTTTTAATTTCCTGGATTTTAACTTGTAGCAACATCTATCTTACTGTTTGATTTGGGTATCTTTCTTTCTGCAGGATAGGAGCTTCACTTTTATCCTGAAAACTCCTCCTGCTTCGGTTTTGCTACTCAAGGCTGCAGGTAGATATACATACATTCTCTGTCGACCATTTCTTTTCTTTGCTGATGCATTATCTGTTTTTGTGGTACTAGTTCTCAACTAGGTTATGGAGTATGACTTAGAATTTCCCCTTTTTATAGAATGTGGTTAGTATTTGCTTGTCTTCAGTGAATATTAAGTCAACAGATTGTTGGTGTTAATGTGAGCCACTTTGAGTTTGGCCACTCATCCCTTGCTTTAACTGAGCTAAGTGATCAAAGATGCATTGTAGACGATACTAATGCATTGTTATGAGTGACCTATTAGCGTAAGTGGAAAATTTTTGTTTGCTGGAATTTTCATTACAATGGGGATCACCTTTTTTGAGTACGACTTGGCGATTTTGGTTGCACTTGCTTCATCCATTTTCTAATATCCTAATCACAATGGAGGATTAGTCTTCATTTGCACATGTAATTTTATAGAGGCTGGAGGGAAAAGAAATGTCCATGCATTTACGGATCTTGGGATACCTTTTCTTCATATTTCTTTGTTTGGTTTGGCTCCATGCGTTTTAATTGGTGGAACTTATTTGATATGTTTTTATTGCATTAAAATTAAGTCTTATAATGAATGGCTAGCTCTTTGAAAGGCTCATTAAAGTTATTCCAACTTGGAGATCTTTGAGCACTGATTGATTTTCATTGGAATGATTGATCATCATCATTTAGGGGCGGAAAAAGGCTCAAAAGATCCAAAACAAGAGAAAGTGGGTAAGATTACAATCGAGCAGTTGAGAGCCATTGCACAAGAGAAGTTGCCAGACCTAAATTGTTCAACTATTGAATCAGCAATGAGAATCATAGCAGGCACTGCTGCTAATATGGGAATCGACATTGATCCTCCTGTTCTGGAACCTAAACAGAAAGTACTTTTGTAGACTTTGCTAACTAGTTCTTTCTGCAACGAGGAATTGGATCCGTTTGTGTGTAAAACCAGTTGTTGAGATGTATTATTAGTTCTAGTTATAAATGCAGGCATTCATCTGTAACAATGACAGATTCTTGAGTTTAAGGCCTTTGATTTTGTGCATCCTCCTCGATTATGAAGGTTGTTGGAAGTTTCTGAATCCTTAGTAGGAATCTTCAAGATCAGGGATGACTTTTTTACTTAAAAAAAGCAATGCCAGATTGGAGTTGATTGAATTTTGCATGTGTTTAATCCTAGGCAACTCAACAATGTGATCACATAGTGGGTAATGGGTATATGATCTCGTGCTTATTATTGGATTTTTTTCAAGCTTTGAATTGGTCCCGCCAACTCTATCCTCACCAAATACTATACTGCTCCAGAAAAGGGAGGGCCAAAAACGGAAAAAAGAACCTTTAGACAACAGAATATGAAATCGATAAAAGAAGAAGAAGACATCAAGGAAGAGTAGTGGGAGGCAAATTAACCGGTTTTGACCTGGTTTTATTGGCACTAATAATGCTCTGCTCACACCACGTGGGATCCACACTCAACCCTTTATATATTGACACCTCTTTCGCCACCCTAATTCTTGCGTAGACTCTATTACCAATTAATCCAAACACCCCCCAAATTCCAGCTGCTACTCATCAACGACTATCCCATTCCCTTTCAGGTATGAATTCATTCACTTCTTTATGATTCTGTTTGATTCATTTCTGTTTCCTATATCCCTTTCAAAGATTATGCACCTCTGCTGTTTAGGCTGTTACTGGAGGAAGTTCATGAATTTGCAATATAGTTTTGTTTGTTTGGGCATGAAATGATTAATCAGTTCCGGTAATCTTGCTTATTAGTAATGATTATTTTCTGTGGACACACACGACAAAGACATGTCTTTCTGGCTCGTTGACTTTGTTTTCTGTTTTTTGTTGGTGGTCTGCTGATAATTGATGTCTATAAGGTGGAAAAAAATGACGTCTTTGTAGGATTTCCTGGGGGAAATTTTTCCTGCAACCATGAATTTGGGTTATAGATATCTCATTTCATTTTCCCGTTGTTTGATCAGAAAAAAATGAGCAATGAAGGTGAAAACGGAGCTGAGAACTCACCAAACAGAAGAGCTCCACGTTTGAACGAGAGGATACTCTCATCTTTGTCCAGGAGATCAGTTGCTGCTCATCCTTGGCATGATCTTGAGATTGGTAAAGTTTTTATTTGTGATTTTTCCCTTTTTTTTATCACTTGAGGATTAGTATAAATGGGATGTCTTGCTATTGGTTGATCTGATGCGTTAATGCGGAAAAACTGATCTGAGATGTTTTGACCATTTATGCAGGACCTGGAGCTCCTCAGATATTCAATGTTGTATGTACTCATTATCTTAAGATCTTTGAATTGCGTGTCTTTATGAATTCTATATTAAGATCCAGGAATTCTGCATTGAGGTCTGAGTAATTTCAGCATTCTTTGATTTAATGTTTAACAATAGTTTAGAAGTTTTTCTTTCCAAGTTTTATTTTCTTAGTTGAAACCAGTTAAACTTTAATGACTCCGAATCAACTTGGTAGGGTGAGATGCTGAAAAAGTTCTTTTTTGGCACTTTAAGGCTGGATGTTTAAACTAAAATATTGCTCATATTCTCTAAAGTAGTGCTCATATTCTCTTTCTGGATGTTTAACCTAAAGTATTGCTCATATTCTCTTCTCCTTTTTTTTTTTTTTTAAATATATATATATATGTATATATTTATCTAACTAAACCATGAGTTCAGGAATGGCTTCTATGTGGATTCATCAGCTTGATCCTAATCTACTGAGGACATGAGCAAAAAGATTGCATTGTTTCTTTATTTGTCATTTTCGTGGCTTCTCATCAGCTAGATCTTACCTTGTCGGGGACATGAGCAGAAAGATTGCATTCTTTGATTATTTTCATTGTCGGTTTTATTCTTATCTTGTACAATGTTATAGGTTATTGAAATAACAAAAGGAAGCAAAGTCAAGTACGAGCTTGACAAGAAAACTGGTTTGATCAAGGTATGTACACATTGGTCTCCAGCATGCCCTGATCTATGGTTGCTTTGTTGTTTGCTGTGGAGGCATATGATATGTAGTTCTGTGGCCCTTCCATTCACATTCATTCAAATGATGCCATAGGTCGATCGCATATTATATTCATCAGTGGTCTATCCTCACAACTATGGGTTCATTCCTCGAACATTATGTGAAGATAATGATCCAATGGATGTTTTAGTCCTCATGCAGGTAAAAACTACTGTTGGATCTCTTTCCCAGTTTATTCCAATGTATGATTTAATGATTTAGTTAAGGCCTCTTTCCCAGTTCTTTTCAAATATAATGGTTAAGTTAAAAGGATGGTTAATCATGATTTAATTGCTCAACAGGAACCTGTCCTGCCCGGTTGCTTCCTTCGAGCAAGAGCTGTTGGACTGATGCCAATGATTGATCAGGTAATATTCCTTCTGATAAGGATACGTTTAGTGGAATGTTTCCCGATCTGGGTCTAAAGTTCCATTTTAATTCAGGGAGAGAAAGATGATAAGATCATTGCTGTCTGCGCTGACGATCCTGAATATCGGCACTACACTGATATCAGCCAGCTTCCACCACATCGTCTGGCTGAAATCCGTCGATTCTTTGAAGATTGTATCCTCACTACTGTTTTAGCATTACATTTTGCATTTTAACTATTTTGAGGGGTTTACTTTTGTCTCCATTTGATGAATTTGTTGTGCACGGAATCTATCATTGGTGAACGAGGATGGTTTTTTCTTAACGCGTGAATAGATAAGAAGAATGAAAACAAGGAGGTTGCAGTTGACGAATTTCTGCCTGCTGCTACCGCTATTGATGCTATCCAGTACTCCATGTAAGTTTCTGTCATAATGCATCATGATTGATGAATGAGCCAGGTTATTTACCCGAAATGACATCTCATGATTTTGAAACTTTATGTAGGGACCTTTATGCTGAATACATATTGCATACATTGAGGAAGTAGAGAAGATGATGGGTCCTCCAATGAAAGGGAAATAAGAAATAAACTTCTTGCCACTATACAAGTGAAGCAGAAAGGGTAAAAAGATCCATGCCGGAGTCCCTTCTCAAATCGAGAGGAATTGAGATGTCTGATTTTTACAAAGGATACTCCTTTTATTAGTTTTGAAATCCTTTTTGGATGATGTTGTCAACACGTTCCACCATTTCCCAGTCTGTCTTTTTTGATATGTTGTGTTTGTTTGAACTGGAGGCAGCTTTAAATTGTTGAAATTGCTACTCACCACTGTATGTGACTTTTCAAATGCTTCTGCATAGTGCTCTGCGTGTTAGTCGTTTTAGTTTTTCTGCAACTAATAATGTGGTGGCATCTATGGCAACTTGAGGTTAAAGATTTTTTAGTAGTTCGATTGAGGCTTGCATCAAATAAGGAACAACTGAGCTGAAGGGCTTGTTTTATTTAGGTTAAGTAAACCTCAACTACCAAATATTGAGCAAACTATATATATAAGCTCTTTTTGCGAACTAAATAACCCCTTAACTAAAAGCAAATCTCAATAGTTCAGTCCCCTGCTAGTAGCATGGGTGTTAATGGTTTGGCAGATGTCTAATATTCCAAATATTCATCTTGCATACGATATCCAAGTAAATATACTTCATGAATACAATCATAAAAAGTATAATTGGAACTGCAAGTAACATAACCTCAGGAAACAACTAACTTTATACTTTTCCCGACAATAGGTGAAAATATTAATTGGCGTGCCATCGTAACATTACACCCTTTTCAATGCTATCATTGTTGATGGACCTCGATAACAGGAATTGCAAAACCCTAAACAAAATGTAGACTAGTCCTTAGAATCCTGAACGCCGCAAAAAGAAGCTCAAAAATTTTCAGCCGGAGCGAAAAAGTGATCTGCTGATGATACCAGTGGCCTCAATGTAGCGATCAACACAGCGTGATACACAGCTACCTTCACTACTGCTCAGGCTACTCCCTGGTTTAGTAACACACTTCTCAAAGCACTTTCCCCTCAGAGTCTGTGAGGGCATTGAAGAAAACAAAGTTGGTCAATGAAAACAGAACCAAAAAGAGTAAAACGAGAGTGTGTGGCGTGCCACAAAGAATCTAGCAAGCCAACTAAACACAAATATCAGGACGTTTTAACAAAATTTTCTACAAGCAGTTCATAATGGAGAAATCCCTAATGGCAAAACAGAAAGTTGGGGCGAGAAAGGGTTCTTGGTATAGCCCAGTTAAACACATTACACACTCAGCAAGACATACACATTCTTCAATCAGGTATAACAAAATCCAAAAGGCAGATATGACATGTAACCACAATAATTAGTATAAACTGTTATCGTCAAGTAAATGCTTGCGACAAAGACAGAAAACACATCTGGCATTTGTGTATCTAACAGGACAACAAGATCCAAGATCCTGCTCCCCTCATTCAGAAGGATTTTACCAATATTTTAAACAAAGTACAGTCTTCAAAACCATCATAATATAGGGCGTTCTAAGTCATGCTTAAAGAGCAGAAGGCACAATCACTTTCAGGAGAGTATAATCACTTTTATAGTCATCCATTTCAAAGAGATCAAAGTGACTTCTACAAATCATCCATTACAAATAAATAATAATCCCTTCTATTTTTACTGCACAGGCTAAAAAAGAAAATTCTAACACTAAACCCCTAAATCACACGAGCTCAAAAGTACCAAGCAGTTTACTAGTTCCATAAATAAAAACCAAACAAAGGAGAAAAACAAACATGTCCCCCAAGGTAGCACCCATAAAACGAACTGAACACGATAGCATATCCAACCAAAAGCAACGAATTAGGGAATAATAGAGCTAGCCCACAATAAATAAGATGAAAAATTAACGGTTAAAGCATTAAAAAGAACAGAGAAACAAGTGGTTTCGTCAATTACCTCGAGGAACTCTTCAGCATAGGCCTGGGCTAGCTGATTTTTGACCTGCTCCATGAGATCGCCGGTCGAAATCGAAGACGACCCTTCAGCGGATGATGAATATGGATCCATTGACTTGTAATTTTACCAGGAAATCGGCGGAAGAATGTGTTGAAAGAACCCTAATAAGATTAGATGGAAGTAGAAAGGGGATTCTGGTTTCGTGCTCCCCACTCTCTCTCCTCTCTTCCCTAAAACCTGCACAGCTTAAAGTTAAACCCTTTCTTACACATCGGCCGCTTAAATTTTTGGGCCCCCATACAACAGGGGAATATTGGATTGGGCTTCCGTCTCTCTCTTTTGGGTGAGATCAGTTCAGGTTGCAGAACATTGAACCGAGCTAAGAAAATAATTTAATAATTTTTTTAATATTATTATAGCCCCATTATCTCAAAAAAATAGTCCACATTGAGTTTTAAAATTTTTACTAAAACTAATATAAATCTTGAAACCAATATGAACTATTTTTTTTTGATAGAGATAGTAATTAATAAATTGTTATAGTTATTATTTAATGATCAGAGATTTCTCTATAAAAAAAAAAAAAAGAATTTAGAGTTTGAAAAAGGAGGAAGAAGGGCCCTTGACCCGCAATGGATAGAGGTTGATTTGTTCAATCACATTTTGTGGGCTGAGCCTTTCTATTTGATTGTACCAAAAGGTCCAATATTGGGATTTCCCTATTGGTCCGCGTTATTTTGGAACAATGTCTCATCATAGATTCATAGCAATAGTCAAAATTGTACTATTAAAATATACCATCTCCATCCCCAAAAAATAGTCCACATTGAGTTTTCAAATTTGTACTAAAAATATTACAAAACTCAAATTTCCTCTAGTCCCTACAAATTTCTATTACGGTTAAATTTGTGTAATAAATAAAAGTTTAATAAATGGTTTTCCATTTTTCTTTTGATGGGGAAGTTTTGTCCCACAATACATTCTTATTCTTCGTTTCCGAAGATAATGCATTTTGATTCAATCCTCGGTTTTACCTAATACGTATTTTTAATTGGCGAAAAAAACTTTAAAAACATTTCATAACAATCAAGAGAATACAACGAATGTGAAAATATAGTTTTAAGATTTTTTTCATCAATTAAAAATGTGTACTAGGTAAAACCTAAGACGGAATTAAAATGCTTTATATTAAGGACCGGAGGGAGTACTACATTGGGAGGAATCAAACTAACCTATGAGTTCTGAATAGCTTTACCACAAGTTAATGTAGATTTTCTACCGTCAAGTTCATGTTTCTTTGGGCTTATTCTCTCTCTAAATTTATTTCAGTTGTAGGATTGTAAAAGGAATTGAAGAGAACGCATTTTTCTTGTGTCTCAAAATAATTGTTATATTCTCGGTATAATTTTTATTTCGGGATTGATGGGTACATTTTAGTAAGTGGGCCTAGTTGGTGGATATACAAGGACACTTTAAGGGGCCCTTTTAATATAGGAAAACAAGTTGCGGTCCAGCCCAGTACAAAGAAATAGCAGTGCGAGGAGGTGAGAACAATAAAAACCCAACGTAATACATTTGTTGAGCCATTTGCACAAATTGCAATGGAATTGTCAATTGTGAAACCATTCTTTTCTTCCTCCTCCTTCTAAAAATCGTCTGGAGACATATGAGCAAGTGCTCCTCAATTTACAGTTTTTTTTTCTTTTTTCCTCTTAGAATTCTTTATTGGAGTGCCTAGTTTAAGTGGTCCTCAGCCTACTAACCTACATATAAACAACTTGCAAGCAACTGTCCATCCCTACTATTATTTCCAAATAATTTTTGTACCCTTATAGCTTTATTTTATCAGAAGTACCATTGTTACATAACACAAAGATAATCTCAATGTCAGGGAAATAAAATAAAAGGCATAACCACTTTTGATATTTTTATCAAGTATAATTAGCTCAGATAAATGTTTTTTTTGAGATGAATAGTGATAATTAATATAAAAAGTATTTCTCATAACAGAATACGAAATTACTCTATCTCTTAAAATTACAAAGTGTATGACGATTCTTCTATCTAGAACGACTAGACTCCTTACATTTGACATCGATCGATGACCTGTAATTACAAAGGGAAAAAAGTTGGTTTGCCTCCCAATTTTAGCTTTGATATTAGAACTTTTGGAATATAAGCCATCCTCAATTCCTCACCTCGTGCATCATGTATCATCTCGGGGCCCTCTTATTTTATCATCAATTTAATTAAGTACAACAACTAAGTCAATTTCAAAAAGTTAAAACTCAGGTAGTAACTTAATTGGCCCTCGTCCCAAATGGCGCAACCAGGATTCTCATATTTCTTTGATTGGTAGCCGTCACCATTAATTATATAACCACCGATTTGTGATTTTGCATCTCACTTTTTGAGTTTTATTTCCAATAACTTTGGTTTTACGTATTGATTTTATTTTTATTTTTGTAATATTAAAGTCTTAGGGGGAAAAAAAAAATAAAAAAATCGTGCTTTCTGTCTAAAAAAAAAAAAAACGAATTCACATGAATAATCCAATTCTTACATTCCCAAATAAATACTCAAGCATCACAGATAAAAACATGAATAATCCAATTCTTACATTCCCACAGTATGCTCTCTTCATTTCAAAGCTAGAATCCTGCTCTTTTAATCAGAAAGAGTAAATTCGTCAATAAGATACAAATACAGGATTATTTACAGAGTTACATTTTTTTTTATTAAAAACTAAAAATACATTAGACTTATTTTTAATCTAATAGTGGACATGAAAATTCACATGAATCAAATCCAACTTTTCTCCAAACATCCCAAATAAATTAAGAAAGCCACCTTGCGGCTTCAACCAAATACTGTAACAACTAACAACTTTAGACATAAATTTAAACATGCGGAAAACCCGATATATTTTACTTTATAACAGGTCTAATTTTATGGCCAAATTCTCCACGCCAATGAATTTGTCTGACGTTTTGTTTCTATCCACAGTTGTTTCATTGCCGCCTTAGGCAGAGACAAGCTACGTCACTTAATTACGTTTGG